AGAGGGTATTCTGGGTGGTTGTTAGGGAATTCCGGAATGTTACTAGGATGTTGTGGGTGATAGCTACACTGTAAAAAATGACCGTGAATTTAACGGTAAAAGACTGTAAAAATGCTACAGTAAAAACCTGTTAAATGGTTAACGGTAAATTCCCCTACTATATACGGTGAAAAACTGTATTGGACATTACATGTATTGGACATTAATTTTAGAGTAGTATACCGTTTTTGGAAGTGAAATAGACTGTATAAATTACAGTGATTAACCGTAAATTGACATTCCCAGAACTCCCTGCGTTACATTTCAAATTTGATGTTTTTTTGTTGAAATAACTATGTTTCTTCTTAGTTTTTTCTTATCAGTTTTGTATATTAGGGTTGTGTGTTACACCTAATGTTGTTAAATGAATGTTTATTGCATTATTTCAGTTTCATGTGTGTCACCATGATGGTGTTTAGTGTTTGTGTGAATGACACTGTGCACCTTCTATACATGTTATTATTTAAAAGCTGCTTGTGATGGGCTTTGGTTCATCACGTGACTTTCTCATCACCTCCTGCATTTGGTGGTTATCAGTGTATTACAAAGGTACAAAACAGATTTCAGTACTTCAATAGGTTGGTATATTAACATTATATCAGGTAATGAAATTACGGTATTTAACTGTAAATTTAAGTTAAAACCGTAAAACCTAAAACGTTGTTACCGTATTTTTTACGGTAAAATTCCGGCAACCACAGCTGCCGTTTTTTTACCGTAAATTTTACGGATTTTTTTTTACAGTGTAGGGTGTCATTATGTCTGTTGCTAGGGTATTCTGGGTCTTCTCAACAAGTCACCCTTTTTAATGAAATACCAATAAACAAGGTATGAATGAAGCAGAAATCAGAAGCAGTTTACAGGCACTGCCTGTCGTGACAGAGAGAATCTCTCCATTCGGCTCTGAGCTGATTACCTAACACAGTAAACAAGCATTTCCTGGATGTACAAGAGCGCCAGAGAGGAAAAGATACAATGGAGCTTTTAATAGATCAGCAGGCCGATGCTGTCTATGGAATTAAACACACTCTCTGTTCCCACTGGCCCATCAGAACTGCCTGTCCTCCATGTGTCCTACACAGGAGGTCTAAGAAATCATGTCAAAGGGGTTTTGTAGTCCTAAATCTTGTGATTACTTATTGATTTACTGCTCTAACAATCGTTGCCTTTATCAAATATTCAATTGTCTGATAATTATTGTTGTTATTCATCTGTCAGCGGCAGGCAGGGTGAATCATTTTAGAGCATCATGGAAGAGGGAATATATTTTTGTTGTTTGTTTAGCCCTGGAGGGTTCAGAATGCCTCAGTTTGAGAGAAACCACACAGAGGGATGTGTGACAGGAACTGTGGCGAGATCTCAGGTGATGTTTAGGTCATCCAACTTGTTTATCAGTTTCAGATACAACCAAATCAGGTGGTTGCTCCTACTGTACTCACATGTCAAAAAGAACAAATGAGCTATGAAATCCAATACTGAACCAAAAATAAGCAGATATCAAGTGTTGCTATATGACTTTCTTCTTTCAGATGAATGCAATTGGAGTTATATTAAAAAATGTCCTGGCTCTTCCAAGCTTTATAATGCAATATGGATAAAATATGGATATTTTTCTTACACAAACACATCGCTTTGCTTCAGAAGGCCTTTATTAACCCCCAGGAGCTGTGTGGAGCACTTTTTATGATGGATGGACGCACTTTTTTGGGCTTCCAAATCTCGACAACCATTCATTGCCATTACAAAGCTTGGAAGAGCCTGGACATTTTTAATATAACTCCGATTGCATTCGTCTGAAAGAAGAAAGTCATATACACCGGCTAGGATGGCTTGAGGGTGAGTAAATCATGGGGTAATTTTCATTTTTGGGTGAACTATCCCTTTAAAGAAGGCCACAGCCCAGGTTAAGTTCCCCTACCGCATTGGTTCTCAACTGGTGGACTGAAACCCAGCAAATGCAAACAATAAATTATAATGCATAGCTAGGATAAGATGATCTGGATCCTGGAGCAAAACCAGCTGAAAACCCCAGCCCTACACTATCTAGAATGATTTAAGACCCTGTTGAATTTCCATTACTACTGAAAATTCAAACCTTGCATGCCTTGCAGAGTTCAACCATAAGATACTGACTGCGTTGTGGGTTCTCTCTAGAGGTCATACACTTCACTCACTGAGACTGATCATCACCCACCGCTGTGTAACGATCACATTGCCTGGTGTCCAGTTCCTAATCCTTTAATCTCCTGGCCCTTGGTTGTTTCCATTATCAGCTCTTACATAAATCCTGCTCCAAAAGTCCTGTAGAGGTCTTGAAAAATAAATAATAAAGGGAGCATAAAAGTATTTTCAGAAGATTCATCAGATTCATCATCTAAGCATATTTTGGTAACACTTTACTTGAAGGGGTGTGCATAAGACTGACATGACACCCATGACACCTTGACATGACACCTGTCATGAATATGAAGGTTTTATGCATGTTTATGACAACTGTCATTAAGTGTCATTCGCTCAGTTATGTCATTTTTAATGCAAATATGACATTATTTGACCTAACCCTAACCCTACCCTTACCCCTAACCATAGCCCATAACAAAGACATCTCAAACAATGTCATCTTTGCATTAAAAATGACATAACTGAGCGAATGACACTTAATGACAGTTGTCATAAACATGCATAAAACTTTCATATTCATGACATGTGTCATGTCATGATTATGTAGGTGTCATGTCATGATTATGAAGGTGTCATGTCAGTCTTATGCACACCCCTTCAAGTAAAGTGTAACCCATATTTTCATAAGGTTTGACATAATTGAGAACAACAAGACTTCTCTGTTGATTTTAGCACTTTTATTGTTCAGTTTACATTTATTGGTAAATTACACGTAAATTAGGTGATTCAGAAACTCTGTTGGAATTTTCAAAGCTGAAAACTTAATTTCCCAGAAACTTTCAGTCAAATATCAACATTATAATGCTTCCGAATCTCCCTTAAATGCCATTGAAATACTATATATTTTGGAATAACACATTACAAATTCACTATACTAATACTGATATATAAAGATACAATAAAAGCAGATTCACTATCACTTCCCTATTATGCATGTCTCCCATGATTCTCCGCGCTGCACGTCGATGAATATTAATAGAGCTGCGTATCGGTCGACAATCTCGCGCGACGTTCGATTGGCAGACGTTACGTAGGCTCATTAATATTCAGCAGCAGTTCCTCAACGTCACCGCGCAGTCAGTGCTCAGTGTCAAAGCACGGAGCGCTTATCGCGGAACGCGTCAGTGAGAATTTTTCATATACATGTTGCATTTCTCCGTGGACTTTCTGCACAGCATTCACTTTTTGGGTTTTCAGAGTACAGCGGTCTACGAAGAAAACATGTGCAACACAGAGGAGAGGTGAGAAAATACACGATTATATTTTATTTATACGGTCATGCAACATTTTAATTTCGTGCAAGTTTTTGCAGCTGATGATTATTATTAATTGACATATCTGTTTAGTCTTTTAACATGCCATTCTTATATTTCATTTTTGGGTGAACTATCCCTTTAAAGAAGGCCACAGCCCAGGTTAAGTTCCCCTACCGCATTGGTTCTCAACTGGTGGACTGAAACCCAGCAAATGCAAACAATAAATTATAATGCATAGCTAGGATAAGATGATCTGGATCCTGGAGCAAAACCAGCTGAAAACCCCAGCCCTACACTATCTAGAATGATTTAAGACCCTGTTGAATTTCCATTACTACTGAAAATTCAAACCTTGCATGCCTTGCAGAGTTCAACCATAAGATACTGACTGCGTTGTGGGTTCTCTCTAGAGGTCATACACTTCACTCACTGAGACTGATCATCACCCACCGCTGTGTAACGATCACATTGCCTGGTGTCCAGTTCCTAATCCTTTAATCTCCTGGCCCTTGGTTGTTTCCATTATCAGCTCTTACATAAATCCTGCTCCAAAAGTCCTGTAGAGGTCTTGAAAAATAAATAATAAAGGGAGCATAAAAGTATTTTCAGAAGATTCATCAGTTTTAATTTCTAAGCATATTTTGGTAACACTTTACTTGAAGGGGTGTGCATAAGACTGACATGACACCTTCATAATCATGACATGACACGTCATATGAATATGAAGGTTTTATGCATGTTTATGACAACTGTCATTAAGTGTCATTCGCTCAGTTATGTCATTTTTAATGCAAATATGACATTATTTGACCTAACCCTAACCCTACCCTTACCCCTAACCATAGCCCATAACAAAGACATCTCAAACAATGTCATCTTTGCATTAAAAATGACATAACTGAGCGAATGACACTTAATGACAGTTGTCATAAACATGCATAAAACTTTCATATTCATGACATGTGTCATGTCATGATTATGTAGGTGTCATGTCATGATTATGAAGGTGTCATGTCAGTCTTATGCACACCCCTTCAAGTAAAGTGTAACCCATATTTTCATAAGGTTTGACATAATTGAGAACAACAAGACTTCTCTGTTGATTTTAGCACTTTTATTGTTCAGTTTACATTTATTGGTAAATTACACGTAAATTAGGTGATTCAGAAACTCTGTTGGAATTTTCAAAGCTGAAAACTTAATTTCCCAGAAACTTTCAGTCAAATATCAACATTATAATGCTTCCGAATCTCCCTTAAATGCCATTGAAATACTATATATTTTGGAATAACACATTACAAATTCACTATACTAATACTGATATATAAAGATACAATCAAAGCAGATTCACTATCACTTCCCTATTATGCATGTCTCCCATGATTCTCCGCGCTGCACGTCGATGAATATTAATAGAGCTGCGTATCGGTCGACAATCTCGCGCGACGTTCGATTGGCAGACGTTACGTAGGCTCATTAATATTCAGCAGCAGTTCCTCAACGTCACCGCGCAGTCAGTGCTCAGTGTCAAAGCACGGAGCGCTTATCGCGGAACGCGTCAGTGAGAATTTTTCATATACATGTTGCATTTCTCCGTGGACTTTCTGCACAGCATTCACTTTTTGGGTTTTCAGAGTACAGCGGTCTACGAAGAAAACATGTGCAACACAGAGGAGAGGTGAGAAAATACACGATTATATTTTATTTATACGGTCATGCAACATTTTAATTTCGTGCAAGTTTTTGCAGCTGATGATTATTATTAATTGACATATCTGTTTAGTCTTTTAACATGCCATTCTTATATTTAAATATGTTGAAAATATTAAATATATTTAAATACTTAAAATGTATAAATTAATTAAATACACATAAAATGTATTTAAATAAATCAGAATATCAATATAGAATTACATATTTTATATTTATATTGATATTATTTTCAATATTTAATTATATTTTATAAAATATTTAAATATATTCAGACGTTCTTTAATATATTTTTACCTTACATAATTATATAAATATATTTTCAATAATATTTCAAATTGATATCTATTTCATATTTTGTTTGGATATAGCCATGTCATGTATGTAAATGATGAATGATTAGGATTTATTGTGATGTTCTGAAGGATCAGACTCACAGACTGTTATCAAAGCGGATTTAATGTCAAGCAAACAGATGAGTGTCTTGAGAGAGAGAACTGATGCTATAAATATTTCATCCATAACCCCATAAACTCAATTAGGATTCATGAGCTTGTAACAGGACCAAATCACTCGCCTTACCCCACTTCGTTTTTTGATAAACAATCTAATTTCCTCCTTCGCAATTTGCTAATCTGGATTGAGGATGGAAAACCCCAGCACAGATCACCTCCAAGCATCATGTTATGAAACTTTTTTGTAACAAGATTAGCACAAGTGCAGGTGAGAAGCTGATAAACCACATTTAACCTGAGATTTAAGGTATTCTGACTCTGAGCGAAGAATACAAGGACAGAACATTAGATAAACATTACATAAGGTATAGTTCCTAGAAGGTTCTGTTGTTCAGCTACAACATCACTGCAGTGGCCCTGTTTATAGACCCATTCAAAATTCAAACATCACTGAATTTTGAAAAAAAAAAAAATTTTAATTGTTGTTTTACTTGGAATCCATCCAGATCTGCAACTCTCAAAAGAGAAACACTTTATTGAAGAATGCAGCAGCCCTAAATCTCGGACAATACAGAAACATGTCAAACTTGTTGTCAAAGAAGGCCATTTGCTTGTAGCTTTGTAATCTGAGAAACTTTGTAATATCTCTCCTGGTCAGTGATTGGTCTAAAACACATTCACTGTGAGTTGAAGGTTGGACGTCACCCTTCGTGTCCCTCTGTAGCCAAATGATAACTGTTCCTGGAAGACTCGCAGTATCCTGTTTTGGTTTTGACTGTTTCCTGGCCCTTCTCCAAACACTCACCAGAGCCAGTAATTACTACACTAAAGATTAACCTGAATCCCAGTCTTTAAACAGATCTGAACTATCACCCTGTGCTGGTCCTGGAGGTCAGCTGGACTCGGGAATGATCTCATATCATGTTTTAGAGATAGATTCTGCTTTTGGATTTTATGAATCAAACATTATTCCTCTCTTATATTACTATTGTTCATAATTGGGATTTGAAAAAAAAAAACCCAAGTACATTCTGCAGTGATGCTGTAAAAGAAACATTTGGGGTTCCCAAAGAACCTTTCAGTGAACAGTTCTTAAAAGAACCATTTTTTCTTGGTGTGAAGAACATTTTAATAACCTAAAAAACCTTTTGTCCAGTGGAAAGGTTTCATGGACGTTAAAGGTGGAACCAATCATCCTGATGCCAGTCATCATGCCCTTATTGTGCAACAGACATGAATCCTAATACTTTTCCAAGCGATCAATCTTACAGTTTTCACTTGCCAAATGACCAAACAGTGCAAAAAATCCCATTATATCACCAGAATAGTAAGCACAACCTAGCAACCACTCAAAATATCATGCAAAGTCTCATGCAAACATGAGGACACCATTGTGATTATGACACCACAGTTTTAGTTTCTTTTTTTTAAAGTCGTCCTGAATCTGTTTTGATCCAGTGCGTATAATCAGAGCATGTGGGGGTTGAAAGTCAGAGGGTGAAAGTGTCGGCTTTCAAAACAAGCTGACAGTTCACTCGCAGATGCCCACTGCTTCTATATAGAGACCAGGAGAGGAGAACGAACAAAATCAAGAACATCTCAAAAGTGCATTGAAAAATCAGTCATACTAATTCTTTGCACTTGAATAAAAATAGTCTGTATCGTAACCAAAAAAGAAAGTAAACATCCTCGGCAACAGCGTCACCTGTTTTCATGTGGTCACCATGCAGATTTTGTCTCCTGGGTTGCATGTTGCCAGGGCATAGAAACCACTACACGTCCCTCCTTTGATTTGCCTGCTGGGTAATCTGGCTCATGAGACGTGAAAAAGCACCCTAGCTTTGAACAGCCATTTCATTTGTGCCAGAGTGCTGGAACCGTGTTATGGATAGCTGTCAGAGCTGATAATGCCATAAAAGATCAATGTTCTGTTTCCTGATCAGCATATTGCCAATAAGTGATCATGAGATCTCTTATTCCTTCATCTAGCTTGTTGTAAACAGGGCTGTTTTGGAAAGTGGGAATTTTCTAGACTGCTTTCAATCATAATGAGACATTTTTGCTGACAGTTTGTGGCCTGGCTTCAGATTAGACGTCAGATCCAAAGATCTCCCAGCGTGACACGGGGACGTAAATGTCTTGTTATTGCCATCTCTAAGAGCCAGTGCTGTAACTCAAGCCCTCTGGGATGTGAAATGTTTTCAGCCAAGCTGCTATTTACAGACTTGTTTTCACATCATGTGCTTGTTTGTGATCTGCGCAAACTGCCTCCCTTCTGTCTAGTGGATAGCGAAACATCTGTCTCCAAGAACCCAAATATCTCTGCTTACAGTTAATGTAAACCTGACAACAGGTCAGTTTACACGTGGGCACTGTGACCTGATGTAGTTTGTGCAAAATCAGTAGGCTACTTGTTTTTCATGAAGTCTTAGATGTTGACCTCCCAAAACTCCAAAAATGCTTATTGCTAGGCTTTTTCAAGCCAACATCAAAGTTAGTCTTGACAAACTTTTTTATCTAGTTAGGAATACTGACTGATTTCAACAGAGCTTGGTGTTAGAATGTTGCTAAGGTAACGGTAAGCTAACACAAAGCTGCATACCTTTCTGGAATTGGCGTGAAGGGCGTGATATTAGTACACTATTTGTTTTACTCCAGCTAAATGTCTCAAGTGCTGCCATAGTCTGTAATCAGAGAACCGAGTGTTAATGTGAACACAGTGCTGCAGAAAATATTACAAGGTGACACAGTGTCTGATAAGGCATAAGAACAGATATAGAGAGAGCAAGGCCTTAAAAGTGCCAACGTTTCAGTGAAGCATACAGTCAGACTGTTATGCTGTTGGCAGGATGGGTATCTGTCATCAGCTGGCACCCTCAGGCCTGTGCCAAGCTGCGTCATGCACTTGACTCATGATGCAGAGTGAAGGTAGCTTTAAGAAGCACATGCCAATTTTTGTTAATGCGCTGGGGATAATCTTACACAGCTATGAAATGATCTGTCTCTCTCTGTCTTGTAGTTGTGCTGTGCTGGGCTCGAGGCAGCGGGCTCCAGGGCCTCTGTGGTGCTCCTGATGCCCCTCTCCCACTAACGAAGATCCCGGGTGGGCGAGGGACAGGCAGGGATCTCCCTCATAGCGTACTGCACAAGGTAAGAACACAGATTTGTACAAACTTCACATTTTAACATAAAAAAAAAATCATGCATATGTTTAAAAGTTCATTTTTGCATTGCTCACCAAAAACCAAAGAGCGGTATGGTTAAAGCCTTAGTTCAACCAAACATGAAAATGTACTCAACCTCAGGCCATCCAAGATGTAGATGAGTTTGTTTCTTCATCAGATTTGGAGAAATGTAGCATTACATCACTTGCTCACCAGTGGATCCTCTGCATTGAATGGGTGCCGTCAGAATGAGAGTCCAAACAGCTGATAAAAACATCACAGTAATCCACAAGTAATCCAAACATTTCACTTCACAAGACATTAATTGATGGACTGGAGTGGTGTGGATTAGTTTGGAGTCTCATTCTGACGGCACCCATTCACTGCAGAGGATCCATTGGTGAAGTAAGCATGTGATGTTAAGTAATACACTTAACATGTAGACCTAGTAATGAAGTATACTCTTTTTAACACAATAATTACTCAATTTTTATCTAAAAAATGTGGAATATCAGTAGATATATTAGTTAATCAGTACTTTACAGTACACAAAATGTGATGCAGCCCATCTCAGTTTACTACTTTACTACCACAGCATGATCCTAAATAAAAACCCTAAACAGTAAATGAATACTTAAGTCAGTAAGACACTGGGGCAGCAAACCATGCCATTTCCAAAAAACATACACAGACAACCAGCCCAAGGGAGGAGACGGGTGTGAAGAGATCTCTAGAGCTTGTTATTTGTCACGTAGCTCTGTGCCATATTTACAGCTAGAGTTTCCATCTGGCCTACATATGCACGGTGTTGGCACTCAGCACTCGAGCTCAGCATACAGCTGAGACTATAGATGTCAGCAATGTCTGTGTGCAGACATGCAACCATCTCAAAAAGGTTAAGAGGTTTTAGATCACTTACACCTGTGAAACGGCCTATTGTGCAAGTGACTGTAGGCTGCTCTTGAGCTCATTTATATCAATCGATTGTGTTTAAATATGCCACTCTGGTAATATTTAGAGAAAATCAATTGAAAAGGTATAGGATAACACTGAGTTCATTACCAAAAATACTCCCACATTGCTGAGGGAATTTCCAACTACATCACAATGTGATACATGCTGCAATACAGATGTCATAATTCAATACAATGCAGTGCATCACAATATCATAATTGAATCGATTCGTGATTAAGAGAGTGCATCTTTAAGCATCTTTATCTCTCTTGCATAGTTTGATTTCATTAAGAACTGGTTTCAAGAGTTTACATTTATTTAGATGACCTGTTTCTACATTTAACTGTTGGAAATTTTATGTGTACCATAAAAATATTGCTATTTATATATTTATAGGATCAAATATGGATGCAATATTGTGAGAAAAGACAGTATGATAATTTATGCAACAACAATTGTGTCAATTACGTTTTCTTTTTGTAATTTTTGGAGAAACAATAAAGATACAGTTGATATTTAAACGAAACGTAACTGAGATCTCCATTGAGTCTCTTGAGCTAGAACATCCTTTGAGCTAGAACATTTGTGACCCTGGACCACAAAACCAGTCATAATGGTCAATTTTTCAAAATTGAGATTTATACATCATCTGAAAGCTGAATAAATGAGCTTTCCATTGATGTATGGTTTGTTAGGACAATATTTGGCCGAGATACAACTATTTTAAAATCTGGATTCTGAGGGTGCAAAAAAATCACAATACTGAGAAAATCACCTTTAAAGTTGTCCAAATGAAGTTCTTAGCAATGCATATTACTAATCAAAAATTAAGTTTTAATATATTTACAGTAGGAAATTTACAAAATATCTTAATGGAACATGATCTTTACTTAATATCCTAATGATTTTTGGCATAAAAGAAAAATCAATAATGTTGACCCATACAATGTATTTTTGGCTATTGCTACAAATATACCCCAGCGACTTAAGACTGCTTTTGTGCTCCAGGGTCACATTTATTTTTGGGCTCCTATTAACATTCTGACAACAAGCTTGTGAGTAAACACTACATATGTGTCCTCCAGGACGAAAAGTTGACGGTGACTCAGGTGGGGTCGGTAAACGGAGCGCCCCCTGTCCTGCACTTCCAGTACCAGTTGAGCGAGCGACGGTTCTCCTGCTGGGACACGGTTCTGTCGGACGACGCACTTTACTTGGAAATCCCCACTGGAGCTCTTCATAATGGCAGCAGAGAAGGGTATGTTGGGTTAATAATCTGTCAAAGTGCAGCTCTATATTGAAGATGACAGCAGAGCCATATCTGTCTGTTGCTACATGGTTCAGCTTTAACAGACAGTTTTAGGGCAGAGTAGAATAAACGGCTGGTTTAATTTGAGTCAAAAGCAGCTCGAGTTAGTTTTCCATGTGACGTTTCATCGCTGGTATGAGGCTGTGAAAGATGCAAGTTGAAAGATGAAAGTTCTTCCACTCATTTCTCATTTGAGTCCATCACGTCCAGTGAATGTGCTGTCTGTGAAGTCACTGCAAGCATTAGAACAGAGTGTTTTACCTTCAACAAGCAGGTGGTGGACTGTCAGAAAGCATTAAATATGTGTGCTCTGACTGAAGTTGTTCTGGCTTCTACATCTGCATTATTACATAAGGTAGACATTATGTAAAAGCAGCACTGCGTCACCATCTCTGTCTCTCTCATTACGCTGCAGTTTAACCAGGCTGCTGGAGTTTGCAGAGGAGCAGTTGAAAGTCAGCTATGTGTTCCTATGGCTTCAAAAACACAGAGATGATCGATGTAAGAAACATTTAAATACACGTTAAAGAAGTATTTGACCAAAAAAATGCAAATTCTGTCATCATTGACTCACCCTCATGTTGTACCAAACCAATATGAATTATGGCCTGTTCACACCAAGAACGATAACTATAAAGATGACTATATTTTAGCATCCACACCACCACACAATGACGTTCTGTTTATTAAAAGCATTAGATCATTAAAGTAATCGTCTAGGTGTGAACAGGCATTTACTTTTTTCTGTTATACACAACCAGAGATATTTAGCATTTTTTTTGTTTTTTCCCCCATAATGGAAATTGAGGTAGTTGGATTACAAGAATACTTGTGCACTTTTATAATGCTCTTTGTAATAGGAGTTGAATTTAAATTCTGCTGTAATGCAGCTCTAAAAAAAACAATAGTGATATTCAGCTCAAGTCAGTTTAGTATTCATTCAATTCAGTTCAATAACTATTTAAAGTTCATCATTTATAAAACAAGTTTAGACAGTGGCAAGGAACCCAAACTCCATCATTGAGAGGATTGATTGAGTCGATTGATATTCCTTCTAAGTACATACATTTTCAACATGAGACTGAGTAAATGATAATAGAACTTCCATGTGGGTTATCTAATCTTTTAAACTGGATAATGAATCTGATACCTTAATTCAGTAAATGAGGAACTGTCTTTGTCTCCACTTGTGCAGTGTCCATCATGAAGACCTTCCACTACATGGGTTTTGAAGTGGTAAAACCGGGTCACCCGCTGGTGCCGGCCCGGCCTGATCTTCTCTTTATGGTCTATTCCATGGACAGCAGCAGTTCTGATGAAGAGTGACCATCAAACTCTCACTCACACTTAAAATGCCCCCACCCCTCTCCCCCAACTATACCTCTGCATCAGTGACTTTTAAGACAGGGGGAGGGGCGAAGCTGGGCCGACTAACACTCTGATTGGTTCAGTTTCCATTATTATCCCAACAATCGGTTCTGATTGGCCGTTCCATCAGCAAAAGGTGGGTTGGTGCTAAAGCAGAAATCCACCATATCCTCTCTGTTAATTCACACCATATATCAAACTGTCTATACTGTTGTGTACACTATGTATGGAACATTCAGAACAGGATACAGATCGCAGACATGGGAGTGATACTTTTTACAGAAGGGAATGCATTTGTAACCGATTGTAGACTCTTTCCAGTGGCTGATAATGGTGAAACAGAATTTCTTTTGTTTATTCCAGATTGGCAGTCTTCTCTGTTCTGGTTTGACTCTTCTTTAGGAGTTTCAACTGAAACTTTCACTAGTTAATCATTCAATGTTCTCAGAGGAAGCGAGCTGAATAGCTCTCAACTCTTAGTTAGAAGACTCGACTCACTTCAACAGCATAGTTAGCTTTTCAAACACTCATTAGGATTTATGCTATGTTCCATTCAACTCAGAACATTTGAATTTCTAACTTCCTATGTAGAAAAGTGCAATAGAATGCACTTGAAGTTGGACTTCAAACTTGGAAAATTCTATGAAAACTACAATTTCAGACGCAGGGACATGGGGAGATGTGCAGTTAATACTATACATTCACTTTTAAGCCAATAAAACTTCAACAGGAAAAAGTTTCCTCATTATATAAAATGTTGCAGAACAGATGTGTAAAACACAGTAAACGATCCTCACTGTTGATGAGCACACATCTGCATATTACCATTACCATAAATGGCTTTATTCTTGCCCTTCAAAGATATTAAGTACAACAAATATCTTTCAATATTGGATGGAACGCAGCATTCTAGCATAAATTCATCCAAACAGTGCATCATTCCAGACCCCAACAAAGCACTTGAGTGTAAGTTTAGGTTGAGTTTAGTTGATTTTTTTCTGAGTCTGGTTGTGAGGTTTGCTTTTCACAAATTCTTTGAGTAGAAGTTGTTCAATCAGGCCTGTTGCTTATATTCTTTAAAACAAAGCCAGACCTGAAAACTTCTAGATGCATGAGCATGTTTGTGATGAAATCATTCTATTTTAAAAAAATCCCGAAGGTTCTCATTTTTATTTAGGGAGATGCATAGACCAGTGGTCTTGTACATGAGTCTTACCGTAGTCCATCACACCTTTTGTCTTCGCCATCCCAAACCAAACCAACAGGAAACATGAGAGTAAACCAACCCCACCCTCTGCTCCTCTGGGGCTTTAACACAAGCACTTTAGGAAAACACAAGCAATTCAGCCCACGGTGCATCACACATCCGTTACAGAGAGATGTACTTTGAGCCGTCAAGATGTCTTGCAGTGTTTAGTGAACTTGACATACTTGCCAAAGATAATGGTCTCCATTCAAAGAGAACGCCTCAAGTTTCATTCAGATAAGACTGGTGAACCTACCGTAGCAGCACCTTCAGATAGCAGGCTTGGTCCTGGCGCAGTCAGGTATAACATGCAGAAACATTCCCTGAAACGGAAGCCTTTGATTCTTGGTCATCTCTGTGGAAATTAGGTGCAATTCATTGAGTTCTGTATACTTCTCAGCAGGGTGACCTTTAGGTTTTGCATGTGTAAATAGATCTTATCTTTCCTCATGGGCTGTGACAATAAGCTTTTAGAGAATGTTTTTTGTTCATCCACTTAAATGTTATTTTTATCTATATGATTTATTTTGTCTATACTGATTGATTTTTTGTAGTGTAGAATTTAGAGTAAATCCATTTAATGACAATCTACACTTGTATACCTTTTTCCTTATGTCCAAATAAAACAAAACTTCATGACTTGACACGACTTCATTTTTTTTTTCACAAATAAAAGCTGTAACAAAAAACAAAAAATGAGCTGAAAAGAGAAATACAATGAAGCTATGAATGTTGAATAATGTGCAGACAGAAAAGTGAAATTTAAGACTAAACTATTGCAACTAGACTAAAGTAAAACTTAATAAACGTGTACTTACTCTCTTTTGGGTCTTCTATTGAAAAATTGTCCTTGTAAGTCATTATTTATTAAAACAGTATCATTCATAGCTCTCAAATGACATTCACATTAAAAACAGAAAATTGGTCTTGTTTAAAAGCCAATCAATGACAGAATCTATTGAATATATTTCACAATTAAGATTTAGCTGCTAATAATGATAGTACAATTTAAATTGTACACATTTTGTGTACTGTTAATAAGAAATAGAGATAAATTGAATTGAAATTGAATTGATGAATTGATTCTTTAGATATGACTTCATGACGCCATTAAAAACTATGTGAAATCAGTTTCTTTTGGAGATACCTTCATACAGAAATGACTGACTCCCGTTGACAGACTGAACTGAAGAACTTTCTGTCACTGCGAACAGACCTGTAGGCCATATGCACTCAACGATCCGTGCTGGGTTACATCACAGTAATCTCGTCCATTAAAATGACCTACATTCTCTCAGTCGGGAACACGTTAACATTTCTGTGCTGCCGGGTTACTGTTCGAGCTCGTCGTTGTGTTCAGGTCTGATCTCTGAGACCATAATCCTTTCGCGCGCTTATGCAACACGTGCCGAATTTTCCCGCGCTTCTTCGAAAGCCCGTAGAATAGGCCACGAGTCAGTCAGAGATCTGGTTAATCTTTCACAAAACACTCACCTTTTGATTTAAGAGTCTTAACTCTTATATATCACACAAATGGTTTTTCTTGGATTTATTTGAGCATCTTGCTACAATTTACAATAGTGCTTTATTCAAAATAGTATAGTAACCACAGTTTCACTAAATGTGTTAAATTCAATATGGTGTCTAACCTTATTAAAGTAACACGCCACTATTTTTGAAAATAGGCTCATTTTCCAACTCCCCTAGAGTTAAACAGTTGAGTTTTACCGTTTTTGAATCCATTCAGCCGATCTCCGGGTCTGGCGGTAGCACTTTTAGCTGCAGCTTAGCATAGATCATTGAATCTGATTAGACCGTTAGCATCTCGCTCAAAAATGACCAAAGAGTTTCTATATTTTTCCTAGTTGCACGCTCCCTGTGCAAGCTGGCTAGGAACTTGGTTATGTTGGTGGAAGTTAGCCTATTTTCAGGCGCTGCGTAATATCGTTGCGCCTGCTGCACCCATGGTACGGCAGCAAAGTTCCTTGATTATTACGCCGGAATGAGAGTATAGTTCCTAGCCATATCGGCCTAGAAAATCACAACTTTTCATTTTCTGTCGGTCTTAGTACACGATGTAACTACAGAAGAGTCAAGTTTTAAATAGGAAAAATATTGAAACTCTTTGGTCATTTTTGAGCGAGATGCTAACGGTCTAATCAGATTCAATGATCTATGCTAAGCTACAGCTAAAAGTGCTACCGCCAGACCCGGAGATCGGCTGAATGGATTCAAAAACGGTAAAACTCAACTGTTTAACTCTAGGGGAGTTGGAAAATGAGCCTATTTTCAAAAATAGTGGAGTGTTCCTTTAAGGCCTATAAATTATAAATGGAAAGATTCTATAGCTTTACATTGTTTGAATGAGGACCTATATTTTTCTAAAACTGACTCCCTGATAGCACAGAGATGTCTATTTGACGTCTGCATTTACATCTGCAAGACGTATTTTTTAGTGTTTGCTCATCTGCCATACATCTATAGGACGTTTCCTATCAGATGTCAAATAGATGTTTAGAAAATGTCTTTAAGATGTTTATGATTTAGAATGCATGTAAAACTGTCATCTTAAAGCCGTCTCAGATGTTTGTACACAGCTTTTAAGATTTCCAGATGAAGCGATCTTTAACAGAAATCTTGCAGATGTACGTGTGCTATCTGGGCTAGTATCTATGGCATTTTATGGTTACCATAGTAGTTTTTTGGTTAAAGCATAAATGCAGTCTCAGCCCACACCAACCTGAAAACTCTTAGTTTACACAACACTCACATTAGAGGCAGAAATTTCCAGATGAATGCTTTTACATTTTAGCTATTATTCAACATCTAACCACCAGCTGTGGGCATGAAGTGAGGAGCCTTCTAGATTTTCCTCACTCAGAATGTGCATTCAATTATAAGAAACAGAACTACTAGACATGTTTATCTTTTCGTATTGTGTTTAATAAAGAAAATGACAGATCGACAGACAGAGCAATATGAATCTCTCTTTGAATCCCAGCGGGCGTTTGCATTTTAATAGAAAACAAGTGCAAATGTGTTATTTGTCTTTCTCCTTCTGTTCTTTCTCTTTCTTGTCTTTCTCGGCTTTGGCCTCTTCTGCTTCGTGTTTCTTGATGAGCTCTTCCACTTCCTTCTGCTTGAGGACTTTGATTCTGGTCTTGCCGTTCTCTCGTGTCAGTGTGGCAATCTCCACTACGAAGATGGACAGAAAAAGGGAACACAATTAGATGTTTGTCCATAAAATTTGAAATTTTAAAGACTGTTCATACTTAATCTATTGAAACAACATCATCTTCAACATCTGTGAACAAGTATGCAACATCTTTCTGAGTTTTAAGGTAAAGAAAATAAAAAAGCTGCTTGTAAAATAGTCTAAATATATAAAAATAATATTATAATAAATCGAATATAGTCACAAATGCACTAGAAAAATTCAACATTTTCAACAGATAATTGTGATTTCATGTCAAGTGTTATTTTTTTTTGTTGCAACTGCAAAAAAGGTTGCAATCGAAACCTAAAATGCATTAAATTTACAGAATGTCTATTGTTTAAAAGGGTTTGTTGTTGTATGACCGTTCTGACTGCAGTGTGTGTGTTACTGCAATTCAGCACATGATCAGCTGCATTAAGCTGAGAGCTCTGTAGGTCTGTATATGGTGTCATGATCATTAATAATGCAGAAGTCTGCTCTCCGCCAGACTGCTTCGATCTATCTGCCTCGTCTGCATGCTAAAACATTTATTCCATCTCCGCCTTGCCAAACACACACCTTTCTCTGCTGAAAGCTTGCTGACGTCCATGGTCTTGTTCAGCACTTTGACGGCGAGAGCGAGGGCAGACGACAGAGTCATCTCTCCCTCTTTATAGTCCTGCTTCAGCATTGACACAGCAGCCTAAAACACACAAACACACACTTTTAAGTCTCTGAACTGAGGTGTTTTGAGATCTTTTTTTTTGTCAGAGAATAGAACAGAAGTCTTGAATTAAGGACAGGTGTCTCGTCGCCATCTACTGGCCGAATCATGATATTATTACAGTGCACTAGTAGACGTCATGATGATTGGTCATCTTTTTTTTTTTTTTTTTAAGAGGTTCTTTTTTTAATAAGCATGAAAAAAATCACTCAACTTTAAGAGAAAACTTGAATTCCAACATGCAACCTCACAGTTTGACAAACAAAAGAGTGATATGACAATCTACATGCTAAAAAGCAGTAATACGTAACATGTAAAATGCTTTGTGAGGACATCTGGGAATACTTTGAAGTAATAACTCTTGCACATTCTGTGTTGATTTTTGAGAGAAAAATCTGATAGATTTTAAATAGTGCTGTCAATCGATAAAAAAAATTTACTAATTAAATCACACATTTTTTCTGAAATTAATCGTGATTAATTGCAATAATTTCACAATCAATCTTCAAATTAACGTAGAAGCAACAAAGACAGTATATTTTTTATATTTGTTTAATGGCATCTTTTTTATGACTGAAGGCAAGTATCACTGATACCAATACTACTGATGTCTCTATGAAATTGTTTTTTTCCCTAATATTTAACCATTGACTATAACCATTCAACATTACAGTATAATTGAGCGCTATCAATTTGAACATTTATTAAGAGTTTAAAAAAAATAACCACTTCTAATTTAAGCGAACTTGAAACAATCTTCACATA